AATTTTCAATTCAGGCTTTTAAATCAAAATGTAAAGCACCGCCCACTAAAAATGGCTACCTTACCACAATCATCAGCTGCCCAGCTAGTAAACAATGCTGAATTAGCTTGCAATATTTATCATGCATGCTATTGTCAATGATGTTCAAAATGTCAGATTGAGGAAAGATTTTGACTGCTAATTAGGGAGAGGAGGTGCGCATTTAACACACATGGTCCAGTCACCAAGTGACCAAATCGTTTGAAAATTCTCCAAACCAAGGTTTCTTGTGTGTGAGTCACTAACCTTTGGAAACAGTGCTTCCACAGCTAATGTACTGCCATGCCGTTGACTAACTCTTGTGCTGAGTTGGAGTTTTAAATTTAACCCTTTCATGGATACCACAAGAAGAAAGCAAAAATTTCTAAATAACTCAGAAGGAAAAGTAAAGAGTTTGGTTTTAACTTTTTTTTCACAAAACAAGGTGAAATAGTTTTCATTAGTGAAAAAAAAGGTTTTTTGCATTTTCATTTTTTTGTTGCACACCCTAACTTGACACCATAGATAATAGAGTAAATGAAAGGGATTGGAAACGGAAGCGTGGGTGTGGGCAAACCTCCATTTATTTGTATTGTTGCTAAGTAAACAGAGGATGGTTGGGATTTTTGACCAATTTTGGAGTAAAAAACTGGGATTTTCTTGCTTTAATCTTGAATAACTCCGAGAGAATACAATTCATGCAAACAAAACTCACACAACACTAACCAATGTTTATGCTTTTTATTAATTTTTTTGTTTAGTAAATCAATACGTGCATTAGTAGCCGTGTCACTCTTTAACTAGAAACACCATCTTTTCCCCCTCTGAGAGACTCATTTTGATCTTGAGCTACAAATAAGTATAACCATTTTAAAGAGCTTGAAATCTATGGAATGAGCTGACTTGCATATTGATACAATGAAGCTTGAGTGTTTTACGAACGATAAAGTGTTTCAAAAACAGGCGACTTTGTGTACCTCTAACTGGTTGCAAAATGGCTTTTTGGAGATAAAGACCTTGCTGCAGGTAGCTTTAAAAATTCTATGTGGAATAGGCTATATATCAAAAGAAAGCGCAATCCTGGAGCAGCACAAATTTCCTTCGAAATCCTGCCAGAGCAACTTCACCAATGGAGGAGATGGGGAATCAATCAAAACACTGATGGTTGTCACGTGGTAACCGAACCTGCATTTCCTTTTGCTAACCCCGTTTCCAATCCCTTTCATTTACTCTATTGTCTATGTTGACACCTAGTCAGAAATGATATTAACCACTTAACACTACAATACTACACTTTAACTGCATTATACGATGCAACATAAATACTATAATCAATACTGTATCATATCATTATTAATAATAAAAATAAGTCATTAAAGGAATGGATTAATCACCAATCTGCCCCAAATGACATCATGTTTAGCCAAGCACACAGACAGGAAGTAATATTGCAGGAAGCAAAAAGGGCATTTTTGAAAGCTCATATCTCAGTGAATAATTTTTTTCAACAATGGCAGTTGTCAAACTTCATTAAAAGTTCAGGCAATCATATTAAGCCAATAAAATAAATACCTCAAAAAATCATTTCAGTTACCCTTTAGGCTTATCATTAATTTTTAAAAGATTTTGATATTTTAAAATTGAGTAATTGTATCTTTGTGTATACATGTACATGTATCTCTTAATAATAATAGTGCTATTATTAT